CCTTGGGTATTCGGTATACAAAATAGAGTCAAAAGGATTTCCCTTGTAGACAAAGTAACCGATGTGAATCCCGAAGGAAAAATCTAATTCGATGATCTAAAGGAAATTGAGTCAAAGCGAGGTTTGGGGTTGATTTTTACCATATTGAATTTCAAACGTTACATTCTTTATTTTCTTATTTTCACTTAAAATTGCCTTTTATTTAATCTCTTTTTACTATTTAATATATTTTTACCAAAACCCTTATTTACTGTTACACGCATGGTTTAAACATTTCAGATAGAAATTTAGAATTTTCTAAGTCCCTGTGGAATCGATCCTTCTCTTTACTACGTATTTCCTTAATTTATTAATTGAGAAGAAGAAATTTATTTTGACATCAAAACGACAGTACAGTTGTCAATCTCATTTGTTGACATACAATGTTTGTTTAGCTACGAGATATATTAATGAGATTTGTTAAAACATTGAACAGTTTACAATCGTTGTTATAACTATGGAAAGAATTAGAAATTTAGGAGATTTTATATTTGATCAATTTATAAATATTATCATCTAATTATCTTAGATTATTTAAAAAATTCATATAACTTTTCTCAAAACTAATAATAATTACTAAAAATAATATTTTAGTAACTACATAACTTTCTCATAACTGCTACAAATGTTGATGTTAATTTAACTTTTCCATAACTTTTCACCCTAAATTTTAAACTTTTCTTATTAGAAATATATTTATCTATGTTTAAATAAGTAAATTCATTTTTTTGAAGTTTTAAATACTTTGATAAAAATGAAATCTGTAGACACCTGTTTTGTCCGGGTCAAAATGTTTTTAATTATTATTATTATTATTTATTATTTATTTTTACTTTTTTTTATTACAAGCCTAAATACATTACAAAAGACCCGGGCCCAACCAATAGAGGCCCAATTAACCCAATTAACCCAAATCAATCACACAAAAAAATCAAATAAAAAAGTGGGTTGATCCCGGAACCCCGAGATCTCCACCAACCGAGACATCACCCCTCTGCCGCTATCTGCCATGGTCTCACTAAACAAACAACCAAGAAAAAAATCAGCTTGCAATATAAAAGAAAAGGGGAGAGATTTGAAAAGGGGAGGAAACAAAAAAAGAAAAGGAAAAAATAAAGAGAAAAAAAGGGGCATTCGGTTTTTTGAAAAAAAAGGAAAAAAAGAAGAAAATTAGAGGGAAGGAGTTCGAAAAAAGTCAGAAAAAATAAGAAAAATCGAAAAAAGAAAAAAACAGAGAAAAAACAACATGAGATTCGAAAGGAAAAAAGGAAGAGAGAAAAGAAAAAGATTACCTTGGTTCGGGGCTCATCGGGAAGCCGAAAAGACGCTGGTTTTCTTTATTTTCGAAAGGCAAACTCCTAGATCTAGACTCCTAGGGTGAGTTTTAGGGAAAAAAAAGGGCCTCATATTCGGGTTAACGGGGTTGAAGATAAGCTTTGGGGTAGTTTCTAGAATTCCAGCCACCGGTGATGGTGGCCAAAGCGAAGGTCGGTGGTGGCCAAAGCGGCGGTCGGTGGTGGCGCTAAGCGTTGATGGGGGTGGCTGGTTTAGGTTGGGGGAGAGAAAGTTGAGAGAGTTTTGGGGAAGTTATGAAGAAGGAAGGTGAAAAATGAAATGAAAAAAATATTTTTGGGCTATTTATAAGGGGCTAGGTTGTAATTAGCAAATAGTTAAATTATTTCCACAATCCCTGGATGTTTGATGTGTAGTTCATTTTAGTCCCCCATGTCTAATGATTAAGATTTGGGAGAAATTGTTGCCCATGACCATCTATTCTTGAATTAATGCAATTTAGTCCTCGTTTTGAGACTTTTTAGTGTTTTGAGATTTGTATTGTTATTTTACGCACTTTATTTTTTAGTCATTGTTCAGATTTTTTTTTGTTTATGATTCTGCATTGTTATTTTAGGAGTGTTACATTTGGTCCCCGTAGCTTATTTATTTTTGTTTATTATAATTTTAGGATGTAATTTTAAGGTATTTTTATTTTAGTCCTAAATATTTATGGTTTATTTTCATTTCCTAGCCCTTGTATGTTAAGTTATTTATATTTAGATACTTATCTTTGCCATGTTTGTTATTTTACCTTTAAAGTTTTGGTTTCTTTTTATTTGTTTAATCATAAGATTATACATTTGATTTATACACTATTTCATAAATTTATTAAATTATGTATATATTTATATGATTTTAGTATAACATTATATATATATATATATATCTTTACATTTATATTAAAATATATACTATGTTATAATCCTTATATTTCCGATTTATTGTGAGTGTACTATTTTTAAATTTTCATAAGTTGCGTGTATATAATAAAAGTTATATTTATGTTGTTTTAAATTATAATCTTATTTAAGTAATATACTAAGGTAATGTATAAGTTACTTTTTATAGCATATTTTATGTATAGGTTTATTCTTAAGTATTATATATAATTATATCTATGCGATGCATATACATACAAAGTTTAGGTTTTAATTTAAGTTAAATTGCATGATATCCTCATAAGTACTACTTGACTCGAATCAAAATAATTTGATTAAGGATAATATCTGTTTATTTTAGGATTATTGTGAAGTGACTATCTTAATTTATAAGACTGTTAGATCGGATTTAAGGTCCCGTCTCGATGTATTTAAATAATTGAACATCCTTATTCTCATTAAAGATTGGTAAAATAATTAATTAATAGTATTTGTTTGATATATGTGTTTAATTTTCATTTTACTTTGTGTGTGTGTGTTTTTATATGATTTCAAAAATAAATCTCATTCGAATTAATAATGAATTTTAAGACAAAATAGTAATATTTCTTTATTTTGATTGGAGTAAGAAATGATTGTTTTAAGGCATGAGAGGTCGTTTCTTCTCGATAAAAAATAATTAAATATTTTCTTTTTCCCTCCTAAAATTCAATGAACGTTTTTATTGTTATGGTTATTTTATTGTTATTTATGCATTTAAATTTGGAATTAATAATGAACTTTAGGATGTAATTGTAATATTTTTTTATTTCGATTGGAGTAATAATCGACTACTTTAAGGTATGAGAGGTCGATTCTTCTCGATAGGAAATAATTAAATATTATTGGGATCTTAAATTAAATTAAACTCGAATTCATAAATTTCATTGCAAAGACAACTAATTAATTGACTAGATACTGATTTAGGACACTGTGGGGGTGTACTAATCTTTCCCCACTCGTAACTGACTTCCGAACTCAAATGTTTGGTAATGCATACTGTAAAATTATTGTTTTAATTAAAATTAAATTTTATTAAAATGACAAAACATTTTGGGTGCTCAATCACACCCTAATCAGATTGATGGTAACTCCTCGAACCATGTTTTATTATTAAAAAGAAACACCAAATTTTGCGAGACGAGATTTTTTTTATAAAAAAAAGTCACTTTTAAAATTAAATATGTTTTTTTAAGAAAAATCGTTTCTACAAAACCAATACAAGAAATCTCGTCTAATAAGTGACTTTTTTAAAATCTGATAAGTCATTGTATTTTTCTTAAAAAGTAATATTTCGGCCCTTATCAGTATTTTCTCCTAGCTCCGTCCCTACATGCCCCAACGGTTGTCTTGTTTTCCATCATCTATGCACTATTCATTGCAGTATCATGCATGGATTCCATTGCCATCCTCCTGAGTTATCGGCCTCTAAATAAATTAGAAAAATAGACATAAATGCCTATCTAAATTCGATACCGAGATGAAGGTATTCAAAGAGTCAATAAATGAAATCAATATATCAAATCTGCAGGCTCCACAAAGTTTCCATTAAAGAGCTTGTGATTCTCTTCTTTGGTTTTACTATCCTTCTTTGGTACTCAAGGGTAGCAACATAGGTAAATTTCCATTAAATTGACACTTGACGGTATTCCTGCAGAAAAAATCTTACCATTGTCCAACTAAGTCAAATAAAACATAAAAAAATCCAAACAGTAAATTGAATTTGAGAGTTCGAAACCCACATTGACAATGACGAATCCAGAAAAATATTATTGACTGAGCCAATATAAACATAATAAAAAGTTTATCTAATATTTCTCATATATATTATCTTTCAATTTAAAAATTTAATAACTAAAACTAGTATAATTACATGTTCTAAAAGAACTTTAAAATTTATGTTAACAAAATATATAGTTCGAAATATAATATTTTCATTGATCAAGATGAAATCTCTTTTTCATAGAACTAAAATCATCTATAATCGAGGCAAAATAAATAATGAATAATTTTGATTGAATAAAATAAGATACGAGGAGTATCTTTTAAAATTTTATTATAATCTTGTAGGTGATGATGAAAATTTGCTAAACAAACACTGATAACACCACAAATTCGTAAATAATTAAAGAACAAAATAAAAAATAAAGTCTGAAAATTCAAAAAAAAAAGTAATAAAAAACTTGCAAAAGAACATCAAAATCTAAAAATTTTAGTTAAAATACTTGATTACCTTCATGATTTAAAAAGAAATCTTTGAATTTAAAAAGCACAGAATGAATATATATAAATAAACAAGAAAGAAAGAGCATCACATTATATAAGTTTTATGATTTTGAAGAGATAAAACTGTAGCTAAATTTAAAAATAAATAGGACTCTAATTAATTAAATTTTGATTAAATAGAATTAAAATAAAATTTTATAAAATTATAAAATTATTTTTTTCTCTTAGTATAAGATTTTGAATAGACAAAATTAGAGTTAAATTTAAAATTAAATAGGAATCTAATTACTTTAATTTTAATTAAATAGAATTATAATTAAATTTAAGTTTAATAAAATTCTAAAATTGTATTTTTCCTCTCTTAGCATGGGGTGGCATGGCCTAGGTAGGCCCAGGCCTACCTCCGCCCCTGTATGTCGAGAAATAGTAAAGAGGAGAGGTTAGCTAGACGTATAAAAAATAAGCATGGGAGAACTTTGAAACATATTTACCTGGATAGGGTTGATGGGTGATCAGTAAGACCCATGGCCTAGGCTGGTGGATTTCATTGCACTTTGTAGGAGCACCTGCCTAAGATCTCCTCAAGTGGGACAGCCTACATCATTATTTGTGGTAGTGGAGGCCTGTGTCGCGCGATCCCTTATTTCCAGTTAAAAGTATCTTTAATAACTGAGTTTACCTATTGATGACTGTGGAGTTGGAACTTACTGAAACTGAAGATAAACCGATACAAAACCAGTACTATTCCAAGCAATAAGACATTGCTTTCACTTTGGTGTTCTGCTTGTCTGATGCTAAGACATCTTTCTCATTGCCTACAATTTTGTTAGGTGTTGGTCATATTGTGTAGGGAACCCCTCACCGGTCAACCCAACTTTAAAGGGTTGCTTGTTTTTAACTTTTTGTTTACTTCGGTAAAAAGACAACTTTTTTACTTTTGTGTTTGGGTGTGGAAAGCAGAAAAATTAGATTTGATTTTGAAAAAGAGAGCTCATATTCGAGAGAAAAGGGGGAGAATTTTTTTTAAAGTTTGGTGCAACAAATGATCAACTCTTAGATTAGAGGTCCATCTTTGGTTTGATTGAGCTAATTTTTGGACAGTAGCTAGGTAACAAGGTGTTATTGACTTTGTACGGTTGGATTTTTCATTCGAGTCCTGTAACATCGAAAATACTCATTTTGCACCAAACTGCATTTTTGGTGATGTTCTCTTATTTTTCTCTATTTTGCTAAAGATTACATGTTATTATCATTGTTGGAGTTGAATGCTCATTGTAGCCTTGATATTGTGATCTTGTAGTTGAACATTTGATGATAGTAGAACTTTTGATCGAACTCTAAAGTCCTATGGTTTTTACCTCGAGTTAGAGGGGTTTTTCACGTAAAAATATTGGTGCCTCTATTTATTTTTGTTGTGGTTGCATTGGTTGATTTGTGGTTGATTAAGGTTGCTAGAGAACATATTTTGTGCTATTGTGCTTGCCATAAATTTTGACATGAGTTATAGGGAGAGAAAGAACATCGGTTGTGCTTCCGCTTGTGTTCGGGTGTTCAGTTTGTTCTCCCAACAAACTAGTATCAAAGCTTGGTTAGTGTGTCAGATAATTATGGAAATTAATACGAGCAAGATGATTATGTTGAATGACACGAATTATCAACTTTGGCGGAATAAAATGAAGGACTTGTTGTTTGTGAAGGCTTTGCATCTTCCGGTTTTTTCTACTCAAAAACTCGATCTGAAAAGTGATGAAGAATGAGAGTTTGAGCATCAACAAGTGTGTGGCTTTATTCGGCAATTTGTTGAAGAGAATGTTTATAACCATATTAATCAAGAGACACATGCTTACACATTGTGGGAGAAGCTTGTATGCTTTGAGGTCAAGTAATAACAAGTTGTTTTTGCTGAAGAAAAAGATGGTGTTGAAATACAAAGAATGAATGTCTAACCATGTAGTGAATTTCAGAGTGTAATGAATCAGTTTCTTGGTATGGGTGTTATATTTGATGATAGGATTTTAGGGCTTTGGTTGCTTTCTACTCTACTAGACTTTTAGAATACTTTTCGAGTCTCGCTCATTACTTCTGCTCCACAGGGTATTACTACTTTGGATTTGGCTAAGAGTGGTATGTTGAATGAAGAGGATAGAAGAAGATCTCAAGGTTCTATATAACATTATGAGGTTTTGGTTACCAAAAATAAGAATTTTGAGTGTCATCATTGTGGTAAGAAAGGCCATATCAAGAAATATTGCTTCTAGTGGAAGAGAAAAAACAAAGGTGGTGGTGATAAACACAACCAGAATAATGATGAAAAATTCAAGTGCGTTGTTACTGTTACTCATGATGATCTATTAGTTATTTATGATGAGAATTTGGTTAACTTAGCATGTCACTAGACTATCTAGGTGATTGATAATGTTGCTTCACTTCCTGCACGTCGAGAAGGGATTTTTTCACATATTATACTCTTGGTGATTTTGGGTATTAAAGATGGAAAATGACAGTTTGGTTCTAGTTATTGGTATGGGAGATGTTAGCTTGGTGAGTAACAATGGGACAAAGTTAACTCTCAAGGATGTCAGACATACACCGAATATCCATTTGAATTTTATTTATGCATGAAAGCTTGATGACGGGGGATTTTGTAACACCTTCAGTAAAGGGCAGTGGAAACTAACTAAAGGCTCCTTGGTTGTGGCTCGAGGAAAGAAGAGCTCAAATTTGTACTTGATGCAAGCTTTGACTTCTTGAGAGACAGTGAATATGACTGCGAGTGATAGCTCAACTGAGTTATGGCATAAACAATTTAGTCATATGAATGAGAAGGGGCTTAACTGTTTAGCGAAGAAGAATAAACTTTCAGGTTTGAAAAATACTACACTGAAGAATTGTGCTCATTATCTAGCGGGGAAGCAGAAAAAAGTTTTATTTAGAAGCTGTACTCCTCATAGAAGATTAGAGTTGCTAGAGTTGGTCCATTCATATGTTTAAGGGCTGGTAAAGGTAAGGTCACATGGTAGTACACTTTATTTTGTGACTTTCATTGATGACTGTTCAAGAAAGTTGTGGGTCTACACTTTGAAGTCAAAAAACCATGTCTTTGAGGTGTTTAAACAGTTTCAAGCATCAGTTGAAATGGAAACAGAGAATAAGTTGAAGTGCATTTGTACTGATAATAGTGGCGAGTACACAGGGCTATTTCATGAGTATTGTATGCGACAGGGAATCAGACATCAGAGAACACCACCAAAGACTCCACAATTAAATAAGTTAGTTGAAAGAATGAACCGAACATTGATTGAGAGAGTCAGATGTTTGTTGTCAGATACAAAGTTGTCAAGATCATTTTAGGTTGAAACCTTGAATACAATAACACATGTGATTAATCTATCTCCTAATGTTCCTTTGCGAGGTGGTGTACCAGATAGAGTTTGGTTTGGTAAAGACCTATCATATGTTTACCTGTACGTGTTCGGTTGTAAAGCATTTTTTCATGTTATAAAGGATGAAAGATCTAAGTTGGATGCCAAGACTCGATAATGTATCTTTATTGGTTATGGTCTAGATAGTGAGTTTGGTTATGGACTCTATGATCCAGTTCAGAAGAAACTCAAGAGAAGCCAAGATGTTGTATTCATTGAGGACCAGACCATTAATGACATTGATAAGATGGAGAAAGTAGATTCAGAAGATAGTGGTGACTTGATCAATGTGAATCCATTTCCCTTAGACCATTCATCAGATGCTATTCAGGATGATGTTCACGGCGATGTACATGATGACCAACAAGGTATAGGTGACTTTGATGCTCCCATGGATAATGTTGTGAATGATCAACAACAAGCACCTATAGCTCCACCAGTCGTTCAACTTTGGAATCTGTTGAAAACATTTTGATATTTTAAGATACCAAACAAGTTTGTTAACTAATTTTTATAAATTTTAAGATTGTATTCGATTCAATTATTCGAATATATACAATTATTACTCAAAGTTTTAAAATGTCAATTTTTACTCCTTAATGAAAAATTTAGATCTATATTGGAAATATTTTTGAAATAATTTTTACTAACTGTTTCGAACTTTAGTCGAGTCAAAAACTCAATTTTAATATGGTAGTACCGATACTGCCTTAGCAGTATCGATACCATGCCAACAGAATGCCAAAATGGTACCGACACCATGCACGGTATCGATGTCAAGCAATATAGTAGTATCAATACTATGGTTGTATTACCGATACTACTCATTTGGTTTTGACCTAATATTTTCCAGAATGTCAAAATGGTACCGATACCATTGTCTGGTATTGATACTACTGATACTGCTCGGGACTGTATCGATACTGTTGCTTTCCAATGGTAAAAATATTTGAATTTTATGCAGGTAGTATCGATACCATTGAGTGTGGTATCGATACCACGACGCTCCTAGTAGCAAATTGAGTGAAAACTTTTACCCCAATGGCTCTATTGGCTCCCATAACAATTCCAACGTTCAGAATTCATCAATGGAGTATATAAACAATATTTCAAGCCATTGGTGACTAAGAAATACAAAGAAAAATCAAGAGATACAAGAGAGAAAGCCTTAAACATAAGTTTGAGCAAACTCAAGCTAACATTCATCAATATTCATTTTTCTTTCTAAGAACACTACTTGTGCTTACTTGTATTCATTTCTCAAGTGTTCTTATTTGTTCTTGAATTGTGCAAACATTTTCCTTGTGAGGTTTTCTTATAAGTTTGCAAATTTGTAATTTTCTCTTTGAGTGAGTGTCTCAATAATTTGGGGTATAATTCTTGAGGGAGTTGTAAGGTTACGCCTTGTCCTTAAAGGTTGATACAAATTAGTGAATTTGTGGAAATCCTTAGTGTGGATAGCTAAGGTAGTGGATGTAGACTTTGATTGAGAAAGTCGAACTACTCTAAATCGATGTATTAGTCAATTATGTGACAAAGGATACAATGTCTTATTTGAGCCAAATGGTTGTAAAATTGTTGACATTGCATCTAATAGGATTATGCTTGTTGGTCATAGAATAGGGAACATTTACATGGTGTATCTAGATAACATCAACATGACTAATATATGCTTAGTTGCTAAAAATGAGCATGATTGTTGGTTATGTCATAGGAAACTTGGACATGCTAGTATGAGTGTTTTGCAAAAACTTGTTCAAGGCAATTTAGTAAAAGGTTTGCCAAAATTGAAATTTAATCATGATAAAATTTGTGATTCATGTGCAAAAGGAAAACATAAAAGAACTTCCGTTAAACCTATTAATGACGTATCATCTAGTAGAGTATTATAATTGATCCATATAAATCTTTTTTGGCCAATTAGAACTACTAGCTTGGGTGGAAAACAATATGCATTTGTATTAGTTGATGACAACTCTAGGTTTACTTGGGTTATTTTCTTAAGTACTAAAGATGAAGCTTTCTCAAAAATAATCCAAAATTAAAAGGGTTATTCTATTTCAAGTGTTAGGAGTGATCATGGAACTAAATTTAAAAATTTTGGATTTTTTATTTTTGTAATTCAAATGGAATTAGTCATAATTTTTATCCCCTAGAACCCCTCAACAAGATGGAGTTGTTGAGAGGAAAAATAGAACTTTAGAGGAAATGACTAGAACCA